AAATCTGGATGTAATAATACAACTCCTTCAATTTTGCACTTGCTGGTTAACATGCCAGCTGGTCAGAATGTTTGAAGATGATAGAAGTGGTGATCCAAAATTTTTGGAGGGGATTAGATTAGTGATAGCTCCCCCCCATCGGGATTAATTATATTTGAAGCAGAGAAGTGTGATATACTTGAGTGTTGGATGTTAGTAAAATGGAGGCATGAAAAGTATTACAGAAACCTGCTGAAACGGAAAAACTGCTCAGAAGTTCGAGAGAAAAGGCAGGGAAGGGTGTGCTGTAGACTAAGTTACCTTTATGTCAAAGAATTTACGTTCCATAAACAACAGTTCATAAATGGAGGATGCTTTGGGTGCTATATCATTGCCTAAAAGAACATTAATGGAAGAGATTTCCTATAATCTCCCTCCTTGACCAAGAAGTTAAACCTAACCTATAGAGGAAAATGAATTTCAAGATATATCTGAAGAAGACAATGGTAATTGTTGAGTTTGTTCATCCTTACATATATTGGAGAGGGTTTTTTTTCCTGCATGCAATAAAGCGATCACATTTCCAATACTCTAAATGATAGGAGTGAGATTTGGAGAAGCATATACTAAAGAACATTTGAATATAAACAACAACATTCTTCAAATATTTCCTGGAACAGGAAATTGACCTGGGAAACCATTGGGTCATTGGATGATGTGATAGTTTGTTAAAATGTATTATCTATACATTTTATATATATTCTATATCTTTCCCTGCAAGAGCTCAAGGCAACGTACAGAGCATTGACTTCTTCATTTTTCTATACAATAACTGTCCTATAAGATGTTGACACTCTAGAAAGAGTGCAGAGAAGAACAAAGGTAATCAGGGGATTGAAAGCTAAAACATATGAGGAACGGTTGCAGGAATTGGGTATGTCTATGTTCTAATTCTAATCCAGCCATGCTGAGTCAGGAATTCTGGGAGTTGAAGTCCACAAGTCATAAAACAGCCAAGGTTGCCTACCCCTGGTCTAGTTTAATGAAAAGAAGGACTACACGATGGCAGTGTTCCAATATCTCAGGGGCTGCCACAAAGAAGAGGGACTCAACCTATTCCCCAAAGCACCTGAAGGCAGGACAAGAAGCAATGGATGGAAACTAACCAACCTAGAACTAAGGTGAAATTTCTTGACAATTAGAACAATTCATCAGTGGAATGACTTGCCTCCGGAAATTGTGGGTGCTCCACCATTGGAGTTTTTAAGACAAGATTGGACAACAATTTCTCTGAAATGACATAGGGTTTCCTGCTTGAGCAGGGGGTTGGACTAGAAGACCTCCAAGGTCCCTTCCAACTCTGTTATTCTGTTATTCCATACTGTAGCTTGGGCTGGGAGTGGCCAAGTGACCCATAGTCACTGGTTAAGAATTTTCATGGGTGTGGGTAGACCTCAACATGGGTCTCCCTAGTCCTAGTCCAGGACCTTAACCTCTGCACTAGGCTGGCTGCAAGCATTAATGGAAGGTAGGGAAATATTGGTGACATGGAACTAATTCTTCACTCAATCAGTTATCAAATTTATATAGCTGTCCATCTACCAAATTTCACTTTGGGCAGAGTACCATAAAAAACCTATAGAAAACAAACATCCAAAATTCCACAATAAAAATTTTATATTATTTATTTAAAAGCCTAAAAGACAGCATCTTTGGTGTTACAAACAAGGTAGCCATCTCAGCAATTCTCCATTTCCTTCCATGCCGGTTGACAGAGCCATGTTTTGAGGGACTCCCAGAAAACTGCCAAGAATGGATTCACTTTATTTCTCTCTTCACTGCTAAGGATGTAATACAAATACCGATGCCTGAACTGGCTTTTTCAAGAGAAATATAGGACAAACTTAGATAAATAGAGGTAATGAGTGCTAAAAGTAAAATTAACAAACTAAAAAATAAATCTTTAGGTTCACCCAAGAGTTCTTGAAGAACTTAAATACGAAATCGCTGATCTTTTTGCTAAAATATGAATCTTCTCTTTAACCTTGGCATTTTTCCTTGAGAAAGGAAAACAGCCATTGAGACCACAATTTTTAAAAATGGACTTAGGGGCAATGTAAGAAACGTAACATCTTAGCATTTGCTCTGGAGAAAATTGCTGATATTATTAAAGGTAAAATAATCATATAACTAGAAGGAGTCTTGTTGAAAAGCAACTAACATAGCTTCCACAAAGGTAAGTCAGGTCCCACTTCCTATTTAGATTTGAAGGAATCAACAAGTACGTAGATAGGAATAACCCAATAAGTATTTTCTACTTAGATTTTTTCAAGGCTCCTTTGACAAAGTCTCTCACCAAGGACTCCAGAGAAAAGTGGCAACTAATTAAAAATGGGTGAGTAAAGAAGAATAAATGGATAATTCCCACACTGGTAAGGCATGTGTAGAATAAGGTCTTTTATTCTTGGTACCAATCTTTTTAATCTGCCTATAAATTATTGGCAGTTGAGCAATAAGTATGCTTTGCTGATGAAACCAAACTGCTTAAGGTGGTAAAATAAAAAAATGGTTTGTTAAGAATCTTGCCAAATGTGATGAATTAACTTCAAAATGGCAAATATAGTTCACTGTAAATAAGTATACAGTGACATGTTAGAATAAAAAAAAAATCCATATTTCATTAATGAGACCTGAGCTAGTAATGGTTGGCCAGGAAAGGTATCTTTGATTCATGGTAGACAATTCAATGAAAAAAATCAACCCACTGTGCAGCTCCTGTAAAACACATACACACACACACAAAACCCCCATAAAAGAATACAATTCCATGTTTGAAATTGGAATTGAGAATAGAACGTTCAATATAATAATGTTCTGATACGTTTATGTGTCAAGAACACAAGCTCTGAAGAATTGTAGGCAGTTCAAATTAGCAGTCCAAAAGGATGTTATAGAATTTGAAAAGCTGAAAAAATGACAACCAAACTGATTAACAGAGTAACAGCTCCTTTACAAGAAATGATTACAGCAGCCAGGACTGTTTGGCCTTGAATCAAGGAAATAAGCATGCAGGGTGAGGGGAGACAAGCATGCAGGATGTTGTGAGCTTTTCTTCTTCTCCTCTCACAATATAATAATTCAAAACCAGCTTCTGAATTAAAGGCAGAGAAACATGGGATCAGCAAACTACTTTTGTTACACAGTGCATAGTTAAATTCTGGACTTCACTACCAGCAGTTGTAGTAATTTCAACCAGTTTAGATGGGACGGCTCAGGTTTGCAAGATTAGATAATCAGTGACTACTAATACCGATGACTGTTTATTACCTTTTGAATCACAGCTTGCTGTAATACTGAATGCTGGGAAGTGATAGCAGAGAGGGGTAATTTATTTATTTACCAAATATTTAAGGTCATCGGACTCCATAATGATTCTGGGTGACATACAATACCAAAACCAGTCAAAAACAGTATAAAGAGGAAAGAAGGAGCAATCAAACACCCAACCTAAAGATAAACTATTCCATTAATGCAGTGTTTCCCAAATTTGACAATTTTAAGGCATGAGGACTTCAACTCCCAGAATTCCACAGCGTTGCTGGCTGTGGAATTCTGGGAGTTGAAGTCCTCATGCCTTAAAATTGTCAAGTTTGGGAAACACTGCATTAATGGAATAGTTTATCTTTAGGTTGGGTGGAATAGGTAGGTAGGGACCATGTGGATCTGTGGGGAGAAGCCGCTACCTGGACTCCATTGAATGAAACTTTAATGGCTCATGCTAATTCTGTTTGACAGGAAGGGCAGGCAGAAGCTATAGGATGAATGGTCCCTCAGATAACCAAGCCCTTTGCCATGAAGAGTTTTATAGCTGATCATCACTATTTTGAATTGTATCTGGCAGCCAGCTGGTAGCCATTGTAGCTCATGAAGCAGAGGGATTACATGGGTACATTGTGGCATATCCATCATTTCTTGTGCCACTGCATTCCGGACCATTTCAGAGGGGTAGCTCTGTGTAAAGTATATGGCCATAGGCCTCCAGATCCAAGAATGAGGGCAACTGACGCATAAGAGAGCTCTGTGCAACTCATGTAGCTCCAGCCACAGCTACACCCTGCGTTTCTGGGACAAGTACACAAGTCCAGCAAAGTTGAACGCTTCCAAACAGAGGGACAATCTGGACCAGATGGTCCAAATAACCTCAACCACTCAGTTTTCCTTGGGTTGATCCTGAGTCTATTCCTCCCCATCCGGACCCTCATAGCCTGCTGCCAGTGGGCAAAGGGTGAAAATATACTCCTGTTCTCCAGAAGTGTATCCATTTGCCCATTGTGATACAGAATGCTGGACATGGTGAAAGCATGGTCTGATTCAACCAAGGCCATTGTTACATTCAGGATGATAAGGTTTCAGGTATACATTCACTCTTGATCAGATCAGCTCCTAGCACAACACTAAAAAGCCAACCAGTGTGTGTGTGGGGGGGGGGGGAGTGGATAGGGGTTCATGGGTGACTACCATTCTGGATTGCTGCAATCACAGGTTGTTTAGCGTGAACATTCCGCAGAAGTCGTCCGAGTAGACATTACGCATGAGGAGCGAAGCCCTCTTTCACCCTCCGTTACGTGAGGGCGCCAGCGACGGGACGGAATCGTTCCGCATACTTTCTCACTTTCTTGCTCGTGGGCGGGCGAGAGAGATTGCGTGTTTGTTTGTTTGTTTTGTTTGTTCTCGGAGTTCTTGGTGTGAGGCGGCGCACAAGAAGGTGGCGGAGCGCCGCAGGTCTGACTGGGCTGTGGGCGGCGAATGAAAGTGGGTGGTGCGCCCCGGTGCGCGCGTGTGGGCATTGCCTGACTCCGCCCACCCCCCCCCCCGGGCGCCCCCTCGCTCCAGCCTCCACTCTGACTCCGCTTCGCCTTCCGCCTGCCTGCCTTTCCCAGGCGGCGCTCCTTGAGGCAACCGCCAGGGCAGAGCAACGCGGGGCAGGCGGAGCTGGGGGCGGGTGGAGGCGGAGGCGGCTGCTGGGGGATGCGCCCGGCCCTGAGAGGCCATATAAAGCGTCGCGCCTCTCCCCGTCGCTTCGCCTGTAACGTCCACGGATCTTAGCTGTGGTGGCGGCCGTCGCTCTCCCGTGCTCTCAGTGGAGTCTTGCGTCCTGACCAGTCTATGGTGTTTCCTGGAGCCCCCGGCACCGTCATGTCGCGCTCGGAAGAGGTGCACAGGGTCACCGAGAATGTCTACAAGGTTAGAGCCGGATCGTCTTCGGGAGAGGGGCGGGGATCGGGATCGGGCACCAGGCTGTGCCGTGCCCGAGGCATTTGGACCAACTTCTCGCCCTGTCCCGGGCTGCCTGAATCTTTTTGGCCATAGCGGGACTCTCTGCCTTTAGCGCACTCTTCTTCCACCACCGCCCGGCCGCGTCTGGCAGAGATACGTGCTCGTTTTCTTTGTGTGCTTTGCGGAGTGGCGATCACCTGTTGCAGGATTTTGTACCTTTCCTGGCTTGCACTTCTCACCCAGGTGTTCAGGTCGTCGTGATCTTTCCGCCCTGTTTGTCGGGTGTCTTTTCACCTTGAAGCAAGTTCTTTTAAAACCCATATATATATACATGCTGTACCTTTCTTGGATTCTCCCGATTCTGCCGCCCAGGGCTTGCTTGCTTGCTTGCTTGCTTGCTTTCTCCCCTACCTCGGCATTGGTCGTTTCGTAATTTCGAAAAGAATATAACCCAATTCCACCTAAACTCTTTCACTGCTTCCCCCCCCCTCTTTCTTATGAGGGGATGCTGTGGAGACTTGATTGAAAACCACATTTCCTTGGGCGAGAAGAGAGTGTGTGTGTTTGTGTATGTGTGAGCGACTCGCGTATGTATGAGTTTCCCTGAGAAAAGGGGGAGCGAACCATAAAGAACAGACTCATTTGCCAAGCAAGCGAGAAAGCAGCAACTCTAATCTCCTCTCTTTCAGTATAGTGTACTTGGTTTGCTTCACAAGAATTCCAGTTTTTAGGCAAAAAACAGCATTTAGCTTCTTCCTTCTACCTGGTTAATATCCACTGCATTGGTCTGAAGGTTTAGTTGCTCTCTATCAAGTATTCCTAGGCAGGAAACATTATCTCTTTATTTAAGATTAAGATTGTTCCTCTTCCCTGTCTCTGCCTTTTTTTGCCTCTCCTTTTTGTTTAAATAGGGAGGAAATAGATTTTGTCCTAAAAAGGGTGGGAAAGCTTATGTAAGAGTACAGGTGATTTGTATGTGGGAGTATTTTTTAAATAACTTATTTCTTTTTGTATTAAAATGAAAAACCATGTTCTACACTGGATTCTTTATTGTTCTGGTTGAAAAATTATTTCTGGAAAAAAATGCTAAAGAACAGAAACAATCTTTCCCTCCATGTCAACACGCACTTCCTGGTACATGATTCTGTGGTAAAACCTTCATCCTTTATTTGCTTTTGATGTGGTTCCTAATGGAATGCAATGGTCTTAAAAATGACTTCTGTGTCCAGAATTGTAAAAGTCCCAGGGCACTGGTAACATTACAGAGTTGGATTACTCTAAAAGCTGAGATCTCTCTACATGCTTGTAGGTATTCATGGTTTCCTTAGAGGCTGTTCTGAGGCTTTTGTGGAATAGAAAATGCTCCCCTTCTAAACTGTTTCTCTGCTAGGTGAAATCACTGCTCCCAGCATGGCATGTTAGTTGCACCCTTTCAGTGATGTCATTTTAATTTTTACATTATTGGGTTCATTGATTGTATTTTAATTGGTATAACCAAGTTGTTAAGAAATAGGTTATTTTAAAAGAAGGTATGGGAACATAATTCTAGAAGGGCATAAGATGGCAATTACACAAAAACAACCATTATTACACTCATTGAGTTAATAGCTAGTTGGCTAGCATGCCATTCAAAAGCATTTATTCCTTAGTAAGCAAGGAACTGCTAATTCAGGTGGTTCTTCATGGTCTATTTGCATGAAGTGCAATAATTTAGCTTCATGCCTAATCCAGTGCTACATGCAAATAGGTCTGTACTATTTACCACCTGCACATATGTCACATGCAGAAATCATAGCCTGAGAGCACAGATGGTGCTGTGGGGGGTGGGTGGGGGGGGAGAGGGTGAGAGAGAAAGAGAGCTGTTGATGGAAGTCTTCCAACACAATGTCATACTTGAAAGAACAAGTATACTTGTTCTATCTTGTGCAAGGAACCAAGTGCATTGGGATTGGCGTATGGTTGTTTGCCCTGCCCCCCTTGTCCCTAATGTGTTTGGGAACAGTGGTGTAGCTTTCTGTGTTTTCTGTCAACAGGGAAACATTTTCAGTATAAAGTTAGAATATATGCATTTGAGAATGCTGTTTCGCCCTTTTTTCCAATTGTACTTCAACAAGAAATATCATTAGGCCAGTAATTTGTTCTGTGTTAAATCTTTTTTTTTTTATATTAATGAATCTTTGAAATTTTAATCTCTCAGACCCTTGCCTTTGACATTTTCCTGAAAATATTCTTTTAAATTAATATGTTCTACTTCAGTAGACCCTGTGAACCACACTTAATCAAATCTTATTTAACTTAGGAATGTTATGCAGGCTGTCATGCATTAAACCAGATTTAGTTACTGTGTTATCTGGGGTCAGTCTCTGTTCCTTCATTTAGACCAGTGGTTCTTAACCTTTTTGAACAAATCGCCCCCTTGAGCCAATGAGGACATTGTCATCGCCCCCCCCCCCCAACATAACCTGTCAATCACAACATAGGAAATAATTCTTCAGTTTATGCAAACACTTTTTTTGTTTTCTTTAAAATTGTCATCAGGACATATCGATACAAATAGTTTATTTCCAGTCTTTTTCCCACATCTCAACTGTGTGAAAAAATTTGGTGCCACCCAGCACTTTAGTCCCAAACTTTGTGATACATGTATTTCATTATTATCTTATTTATTCAAGACACTTAAATGTAATCACCACTAAAAACAAAATTCAATTGCAAGAAAGTGAAATGCCTGAAAAGAAAAACAGTAACATTTAATGACTGAATTACAAGTGAAATTTAAGACGCAAAAAGAAATATAAAAAGGGCATAAGAACAAACGCAATGCAGGAACTAAGAATTTCAAGACGAAAACTCTGAAACTAAATTAAGATTTGAGGAAAGTATATATAGTCACGCACACTGTAAAAAGGATTAAAAAGACACAAAGAAAGTATAATATCAAACTGGAGTGCACACTAAAAAAGTACAATACAAAGAGTACAATACAAAATGTTTTACAGAACACAACAAAAATTTGAAAACAAAGCTGAAAACTCAAACTGTGACGTCAACATTACAGCTGACATCCCAGGGGACAGCCACTCAGCATGCAATGTTTCGAAAGAAGCGCTCCCCCCTCCATCACTGCCCATTCTGGCCAATGGCGCACTACTGTATGGGTAGAGGGTGCTGCACAATGCGCATGAAGATAAGCGATGCGTATTCACATATGTACGGCATTCTGTATTGAAGCTAGTTGGAGGAACATTTGAAAATACAATTCAATCCACTAAGAGCGAGCGATCTGACGTTTCTGTACGACGGATATACAGCGATTCACTGTATGAAAGTCTCAAAAGTGTCCTCAAAACTTCTCGCTCCATCGCCCCCATATTGCCCCCTTTTTGTTCCTTTGCCCCCGTGTTGCCCCGTTTCATTCCATCGCCCCCCTGAAAAATGAAATTGCCCCCTGGGGGGCAATATCGCCCAGGTTAAGAACCACTGATTTAAATTAATGAAACATTAAATTATCTAGGAGAAGAATGAGGCATCTAAAGTATTAGACTCTCACCATTTAGCCCTATGTGATATTGAAAAGCTTTCTTTTTTTGTTCTTTATCCTGGGCTTTTTGCATATTTTGGTACAAAGTCATCTTGGCCATTTCAGGTTCTGTCTTTCAGCAAGACTGTCTCTCCTTTCTTCTTCTTCTTCTTCTTCTTCTTCTTCTTCTTCTTCTTCTTCTTCTTCTTCTTCTTCTTCTTCTTCTTCTTCTTCTTCTTCTTCTTCTTCTTCTTCTTCTTCTTCTTCTTCTTCTTCTTCTTCTTCTTCTTCTTCTTCTTCTTCTTCTTCTTCTTCTTCTTCTTCTTCTTCTTCTTCTTCTTCTTCTTCTTCTTCTTCTTCTTCTTCTTCTTCTTCTTCTTCTTCTTCTTCTTCTTCTTCTTCTTCTTCTTCTTCTTCTTCTTCTTCTTCTTCTTCTTCTTCTTCTTCTTCTTCTTCTTCTTCTTCTTCTTCTTCTTCTTCTTCTTCTTCTTCTTCTTCTTCTTCTTCTTCTTCTTCTGAACAAGTTTATGTATTTCTTCTGAACAAGTTTATGTATTGTATTTTTTGAATCCAAATAACTTTGAAAGCAAGATTTTTTTATGTTGAATAGTATCTACTCCCTTCAACAAAGCAAATGTTCTTTAAAATAGTGGAATAAGAGCTCTTGAAACCCATTGTGCAAAGTTGCATTTTCAACAGGACTTAATTTAATCGCGATTAATACCCATACATGCATATTGTTTCGGTAAAGACTCCAGTCATAGAGGGGCAGATATTGTTTTGGTTTTTAATGGAAGATAGAAATGCTTTTGAGTTAATGCTTAAGATCTATGCAGTTTGGTAGCTTTGCCTTCTCATGGAAAGTTTCTTATCTGCATCTCTGGTATTTCCAAGTGGTCCACTATCCAAGGGTAATTCAAGTTGGCCTTGTTTAGCTTTGGAGAGCACCCTAAGTCAGCAAGGGGGTGCTGTCTGTGGTTTTTAATGCCATAGTCCTAAATAGATGCATTGTGTTTATAATAAGGACTATTGGTTATCATTTGAAACTTATTTAAAGATAAATATAGACCTAATTACAATTGTGTTGGTATAGTATTTGGAGAAGCTTCCCTGGTCCAGGCTCTGGATTTACACACCATGCTAAATCAGTAATAGGCAAACTTTTGGTTGCCATTGGTTACTTTTAATACATTTGATGGGGCATTAAAGGCTGCAGTGGCTCTGGCAACAATGCCAAATGGATACGAATGATTTATGCATGCAGGGAGAGTCAGCATTTTCCATTTCTTTTTCCAGTTTTGGGTTGTAGGTGGTTGCCAGGCCTTCAGGGTAGATTAGATTAGGCCACTGCTTGTCAAGGGCCAGGGAAATCGTGAGATCCAGGCAGTTCAAATGTGGGTATAAAGATTTATTGCAAGTTTAAGCTTTCTGAAAGAATCTGAACTAC